AAATTCGTTTTAGATGTTCACACGGGTCGACTATTTCTTTTGGATGTTGAACGTAATTTGACTCGTTCAGTAAAATTAAGGGAACCCAGACCAGACTGTCCTGTATGTGGAAATGATGCAGTGAGAAACAGTGTAGACGGACCTTTAACTAATTATGTTTTATTCTGTGGAACACCCAGTTGTGATAAGGTATTTATCACTTTATTGTTATATAATGTTGTTTAAATATCACACAGTAAGTTGTCGTTAATTATCTTACTAGAGGATGATTGTGAGAACGTGTTACTCATCTTAAAAATTGACTCCAATTTAGAACTACACAGCTCTTAACAGCTCACTGAACAAAGCGTTATCAACAATTTTAAATCAATAAATATTGTGGTATAGTTTCAATTGGCTCATGATCTCAACTGTTATAAAAAATGACTTAAATCGCGTACATTAGTTTGATATGTCTGAACATTTAATATCTCGATTCCCCCTGCATGGGATGTGTACCTGTCGTACAACATTTTTATTGTATCATTACCAGATCACTGAGTCACTTCCCCGATCTTAGCTTTCTTTTTCGGATCAAATTTCATTGATGCTTTCTGATACAAAAGCAAATGGTGATTAGATTTCAAAATATTGGATACTTTAACTACTATACTATCAACTGAGTGAACCGTACTATGTGCAAAATTAATCGCTCTTATGAATTATTCGTATCACTGCTCTTACATTCACTCACAATCTACAGTTTCACCACTTTTCTTCAGAATTCAATGAAAATAAATATTTCTGTCTGATTTTATTCAGGTACCAAAATTAAAGTTAGTCTAGTCCCTGTTATATTGATGGATTGTGATTGTTTCCAAATGTTTGTTTATAATATATTTGTTTTCTAGTTAGGCAGTATATTCCAACAGCCAGTTTTTTAAATACACATTGAAATTCGATATTAATTGAAGAACAATTTGATATTGAAATTCTTCGTATGAAAGTCTTAAAAATAACGCACTTGTATATCTCATTACTTTTTATTTGCAGCCGCGCAATATGAACATGACAATGAACAGTCATCGTATTACAGTTCAAGTAAATACGACACCATTTTGTATCTAATCTTTTTTCCGTTAGCAATTAAAAGGCTATATTGACTCTCAATCACCATATTTGCTTATCGATGTTCGTCCGAAAACTGAATTCGACATATGTCATCTAAAGTCATCTATGCGTAAGTTACACTTGCATATCATTTTATTTTTTGTACAAACGATTTGGTTGCGTGATGTATCCCATTCATTTATTAAAAATATGGCCATCCAGTGCTTTCATGTTTTCAATGGTGGTCTAGCTTAGAATGAATCGTGAATTCAACTGTTAAAAATATTAAAAATACCACAAGCACTAATTTTGTGTGTCACCAAAGTCAAATAAAACCTAATCCCTCACTATCTATAATTGTAACTTGTCTGCAAATATCAGTTTTTTCCAGGTGAAATGTCAATACTCACTATGGTGTGTTTAATGATTTAAGAATAGACGTAAAGCACCTGGCCACTCAATCATAAAATCTTGAATGATATAATTGCGTGAAATCAAGCTTGATTTGAACTGCTGAACCTGCTAATAGTCTTTAGTATTCAACCTAAAATTACAGGACAGGACATTTTCTATACGGACTAACTTCCTGACGTTCATATAACGTTACGATTTACTGATAATTTCCTTTCCTTTCAGTAAAGATTCAACTCTAGGGATTATTATAATAATTAATTGGTTTTTAATGATTTAACTTGTCATCTATCGGTAAATAATTTATGATAAATACTACTTTTTTTGTAGATGTACCCATAAGTGAGCTTTTTCGTGATTCAGTCATATCAGAAATTCGACAAATGATGGATACCCAAATTAGCAAAGGAGCTACTTTACCTTTTCCTGGTATGCATTGGTTTTGATCAGTACGATTATTGTTGTAAACTTGCTGAATTTGATTTTAAAACAGACCATTATTAGCTTTATTATTTGTATTTATTCTCAGTAAATTAGTAAGGTTTAACCGTTACATATCTTTTTGCTTGCCTGTAGGAGACTTTTATTTGCTATCCTATGAATAAGTGCATATCAGTCGTTAATTCGAGGCTCTCGCCTGTTTATAGACAGAAATTTCAATTGATTAGATTCATGTGATACTTAGATTTCACCTTATTTTCAATCTTTGTGCACAGTGCCAGTGATAAATTCATGTAGCAATCTAGGGATAATCAGAAACACACTGGCTTCACACATTCATTATAGTTTATACTAAATTTCCCAGCTTTTGTTCGATGAACGTTGAAAAGTCTTCCACTGCGGTGTTAACTTCAATTGATATTCTACATAGTCTACTTAAACCGTCATAGATACAATAAAGTATTGAAATTAAGAGAATTTCAAATACCTCATCCTAACTATAATTTTTTTATTTTGACCATAAAAACATGTCAACAAATGTTTTTTTTTTCAATTTGATTCATTGTTTAAAATTCCTTCCCTCTTTTTTTATCATTCTTTTTGTGATTTCAGTAATTCTCTTGTGCTATCGTGGTAATAAGTCGTCAGAAGCTGCACCACTTTTGAAAAGCGCGCTATTATCTCTCCGATGTTCGAATTCTGATCATGATCTAAATGGTAAAGTTAATGATTCGATACAAGAAGTAATAAAGAGTTCTAATACTGAATCCAATCCTAGTGACTTCATAGTTTGTGATGTTGCTGGAGGTCTTTCTGCGTGGTCAATGGAGATCGATCCCAACTTCCCTATATACTGACTCGCTCAAACTGTTATTATTTTTATTAAACTAGGAAATCATTCAAAAATTGATATTTCATGTGTACTTATATAAATAAAGTTGGATTCTACATTTTCTTGGATTTAACTCTAATATCACCATTATGGCTGTGTATCCATCTGTGAAAGTGTGAGCAAAGTAGGAACTGGATATATATATATATATATATATATATATATATATATATATATATATATATATATATATATATATATAGCTGATATGAAACTGCTATGAGCACGGATAATTTTGCATTGAATCTACAATTACCAATACGATTGCGTTAGTTTTTAAACCAAGGTTATACATCCAGGTGCTAATTGGCATAATTACTCCCGAATGATATTGTTGTCAATTGATTTTCTTTAGATTGTATGCTTAAAACCTGTATGGTTTACTAGAACTACCTTTTAAAATTAATTACACTCATCAGTAAACTATGTTACTTCTGAATACCGACTTATATAGTTCTCTCTGATTTGCATCTTATAGGATCTTACCACTTTTATAAAGACAGTAGATTCATATTTAACTTAGTTTTTGAATAAAAAGTGAACTTTTAAGAAAGGGAAATGTTTTAGCCAATGTTCATTTGGATATTTTTACCGTCCCCGTTAAAATTCGATTCCTTCCAATAAAACATAATTACTTACGCCTGTTACTCCCAATAGAGCATAGGTTGCCGACCATCATTCTCTAACCCACTCTGTCCTGAGCCTTCCTTTCTAGTCCTATCCAATTGTTGTTCATTTTCCTCATGTCTGTCTCCATTTATCTGCGTAATGTGTTCTTTGGTCTCCCAATTCTCCTTTCGCTTTGCGGATTCCAAGTGAGGGCTTGCCTTGCGACGCAGTTGGGTGCTTTCCTCAATATGTGTCCTATCCACTTCCAGCGCTTCCTGATTTCTTCCTCTGCTGTGATCTGGTTTGTTCTTTCCCATAGGTTGTTGCTGATAGTGTTTGGCCAACGGATACGACGCGTTTTCCGTAGACAGCTGTCAATAAACACTCGTGTCTTCTTGATGATGGCTTTCGTAATCGTCCAAGTTTCCGCCCCATACAGTAGAACTGTGTTGACATTTGTATCATAAATTCTGACCTTGATGTTGACAGTTGTTTTTAGTTCCAGATGTTCTTCAGTTGTAGGTATGGTTCTCTCACTTTGCCGATCCGCGCTTTCACATCTGCACCAGATCTACCGTGTTCATCAACGATGCTGCCCAAATATGTACGGATTTTTACGTCTTCCAAATCTTCTCAACCAAGTGTGATTCGATTGGTGCATGCTGTGTTGTATCGGAGAATCTTGCTTTTCACTTTGTGTATATTGAGACCTACTGCTGCTGAGGCTGCCGCTACACCGTTCATCTTCTCCTGCATTTGTTGTTGCGTGTGCAGTAGAAGAGCCAGTTCATCTGCGAAGTCTAGACCGTCCAGCTGCATCATAGCTGTCCACTGTATCCCATGTTTCGCTCCAAATATTGACATCATGATCCAGTCGATCACCAGGAGAAAGAGAAAGGGTGAGAGTAAGCAACCTTGCCTGACACCGGTCTTTAATTCGAACGAGTCTGTCAGCTGTCCTCTATGCACGATTTTGCAGTTTAATCCATCACTGGAATTCCGTATGATATTGACTATCTTTTCAGGCACGCCGTAGTATCGAAGAAGCCTCCATAGTGTTATCCCGTCCACTCTATCAAATGCTTTCTCATAGTTGATGTCGAGTGGTGAATTCCATTCAATTGATTGTTCCACAATGATCCGTAGTGTTGCAAATTGGTTGCAAAATATCCTTGGTTCTGTGAAAATCCCCCTAGTAGATTTGAACTTCGTTTATTGTTTATAGACAAATTTTCCTGGCAAACAACGCACCATTTTAAACATATCAATATCCCGTAATGTGTTTGTGTGTTATATGAGTTTAAAATCATGTCTTCTGTATTAAGGAAGATAAATAATTTATAAAAGCAAATAAACGTAATTGGTTTTATATTCCTGGTATTTAAATTACAATATATGACTAGGGTCTCTCCATGGGAACAACATTTTTAAGCTTCTAATGTGAGTCTTTAATTTGATACTATGTATATACATTAATATCCAACAAAAAAAATTTACAGATTTGTTCCACTACTTTGGAACTGTCTTTTGAAAATGTTAAGTATTTATTTCTCTATCTTTAACCTAAGTCAGGATGAATAACATATTCTTTTGGTTGTCTTTCCAATAAATGTAAATAATGTGACCCAGGGTAGTCGTATTTAGCCGTATTTGATATTCTGTAAGGAGGTAAGTGATGCCAACTGCAATACATCCAGTGATCCCTTCTTTCTTGCTTAGTCAGTAGATCTAAATACTTGAGATGCGTTGAACCATCACTTCGAGAAAACACAGGGTGTGGTGTTTTGTTTTGATCCCAGTTAATGCTACAGAAAATATTTAAATTTATGCGAAGAATAGTATTATCTCTGTATTATTTAAACGTGCCTAGTTAAAAATACTTGGATGTGAGGACTAAGAACCAAGTGAATATTGTATATCCTGTAATGTGATTATCTTCTATCAGGCCTCAAAAATTCAAAATATGTGTTCCTTTGTCATGTACCTTTATTCACCATATAATTAAAATAGTTCAGTTAATGCAAGGACTTCTTAAAATATACATGATTAACAAAAATATTTTCAGTTTATGCTTAAGAATTCTTAAACCAAATGTTTTTGATCCCGTTACAAAATGTTTGATAATTAGAGCAGAAATGATTTTCCTGGTGTGAAAAATGAGATTACTTTCCACAAAGAATAAAAATGAATTTCATATACAGTATCATTGTTGTGTAAGAAGCTTAATAAACTGGGGAAGTAATAACTGCTTTATCTTTCTTAAGGAGACGAAATAAGAATAGTCATTGAAGGTTTGTCAACTCGAAAGGAAAGGATTTGTTCTGATACATCCTGCTCCGAGTCATTTTATGTTTACTAGTTAGATTAAGATCCTAGTTCTTGCGAGCCTCAGACGACGTTCATTTTGATTATTTGTAAGAATCCCTATTCTGCTCGTTGGTTATCATGTTCATGGAAGTACCAAATGGGATAGGCTTTAGTTCCTCACTCACAGATCTATCGATCACCCCTTCCACTATTAAATGAAATGCGAGCTTTGTTGCCTTAGCTGAATAATATTGCTTGTAACTCGTAATTAATATGTCCGGACTGGCCCAAAGAGAGATATATAGGTAGAAGCCCGTCCAGACTTGAATTTCTTTCTTACCATATAGCCTTATGACAGTATATGATCTGTACGGCCTTGGCTAACATATCAATTATACTTAATTATAAGTACGGAGATTGAACTCACTGTGAAAAATAGTAACTGTGTATGAAGACTTAGAGGGCTAGTAAATTCGCCAACCCATTCGGAAATCTCGAAAATATTTAGAAAACATGCGTGCACCTGTCTAGATTTTCTCTGATCACAATATATTGACAAATGTTTACTGTAAATTACTTTTACTTTTTTTGTATCTTACCAAAACATGGCACAAATCCATGAAGTCACTGACAAGTGGACTGAGCCATGTTGGCGGTTGTAGACTACCTGGTTGAGACGATAGCAACCGATGGTCAGAGACCTTGAACGACGACTCAAAATTGTTTGCAATGGCGACGGTGCATCCACTCTTTGTGTTCTTCTGAATTCTTCACCTTTTTTTCTCTTTCTAAATTTATTTCAATGGATTATGCTCCTTGAATATCATCTTCAAACCCTAATTTTTCCGATTACTGTTTATACTTTTACTACCTCTATTACTACGGGATTTGAATCGACAATTGTATCTCTGTGCTAATGTAGTATGGCAAATCGAAGTGATGTACTTACGTCGTTGATGACTGACTGAAATATAAATGAGTTTTACCAGCCATCTTCATAGAAGTATTTATTTATTTATTTATTTGAACACATAAATATTGGTACAAAGCGTCACCGAATACATATGCGCCACATTTTGTCATTCGATTTGAGTGAGAGCTGGGATACTGCCCGGGTGTCCAAACCGAAGCGGGTGGTTTTCTTAGGGGACCACACCCTGAGCCTTTGACTTAGAGGTCTAGTCCACACGGCGATGGGGCAACGTAAGGAGATTCAGTCCTATGGTAGCCGGTAACTAACAGTTGGTTTATACACCATTGGTTCCTTCAGAATCTTGGAGCCCATGTGCACAATTGGCTTGGAATCAGGGTTTTCCGGCTCGATAGGCAGAGCGAACTCACCACTCTCAGCCGTACTAGGGCATTTGGGGGGCATAGAAGTGTTTCAGACTCTTGCTCCGGGTTCTTAAGATTAATTTGAAGTGACATTTAGTCAATATATTTAGTATGTTATTGCATATAATTATTAGATAATATGTTTACGGGTGTTTTATTGTTTGGGGATGTCATAACTAATAAGCGCATATTAGCATTTGGTTAAATATTTGAGATTATGAGGACGATAATATTCAGATTGTTCAGTTGATTGGACTTTAATTCGACCTCTTAACAACATTTTGGCTATCCATAAACCGACATATTAGCTAAACTATAATTTGTTTAAGTTGAATGCCAGAAAGGTGCTTGCTGTTATGCACAATAATATTGTTACCGTATGTGTGTTACTTCTTTTTTTTACTCAAAAAATATCACAAGCTAGCTCACTTCTTAACTCGTTTCATAACGATTTGAAATTGAGTATCAGTTAGTTGATCTTGTTCGTTTGTCTCACGGTAGAGCTTGTCTATCAATTCCAATGCAGTTGTGCGCTCTAAATTTAACAAAATATGGGTAAAATGATATAATTGAGTCAGAAATTAATAAGAATAGGATTTATGTGTTCAATGCTTGGAAAATTAAATAAGGGCAAACAGTTTTAATAACCAAAAATTTTCTTCAACTCACAAGGAAACTTAATGCGTTCCACTAAATAAATCAATATTATAGTGTTTCGGACACATTTTACTTTCACTACATAAAGAATTCTATATGACAAATGCTTACTATGGCCGTTAAAAACTTGGAATTGAATAAAACCTTTTTAATATTAAACGTATATTTCAAACTATAGATATCAAGTTACTTAAATACTGTTGACAAAACTCCTTTGGTAATTTAATTGTTTTAATTCTATATGATAAAAGAACCATCATCTGATACATAGTAATAAAATACACGTGTATTGAAAATCAAGTTCTGTCAACTAATTTACTTGAACATGCATAGATGTCTGTAGAGAATGTTGTATTTCTCAATTTACATATCGGACTGGCTTTGATTAGAAAACCAGGAATCAGTGGATAGCTGTTTTGTTCTGGTATGCGGTTCAGAAGTGCACATCCATGACATTCGGTTTTGGACCCAGGACCTTCAAAACTCGTAGCGAGCCCTTAAACTTTAAACAACTGAGCCAACATCCAATGGTTTACATGACTAATTTCAGCCAATTCACGATGTTTTGCAGCGGTGCTGCATTGCCGTTACTCGCGACGTGGTTGGTTCCATTGGTTACTGCTTCTCACTAAACTCCGGGACATACCATTCGAAACTAGTCACTAATGAACACGTGATAAGTGATTGCTGAATTTGTATACATACGGACACAATGAATCATAGATCAACTTCGCATTAGCTTCCTGTTTTTCATAATCTCAGCAGCAGACAGTCAGGGCTGATATTACTTGCATCTAACTAATGGGACATAAAGGACAATGTCAGTAACCTGAGAATCTAACTCAGCTGTTACTATGTCATAATGTATTTCATACTTAATAGATGCTCAGAAATGTCCCGTCAGGATCCGAACGCTATGTGGAGCGAAGGCGACTTAAATATAGACTGATGGAAAATCGAACCAGAGATTGTCAAATGTGCTAGGCAAGCTATAGGTAACAGTGGACAACTTTTAAAAATTACCAAAAAAACATATTAGGTATTCGGGAGATAGGGGAGCTTTCTCTGCCAAAGGTGTGACAGTGATCCACTTCCAACCCTGGATGGCGGAACGATAGACAGAACATCCTGGAAACCAAGTTAAATGCTCTCCAGCTACCATAGAGTGTCCTACTTTTACCAAGAAACCTAAATAGGATATCGACATAACCTCCCCGACTGATGAAGTAGAAAAAGTCATATCTGATTTTGATCGGATGAAATCAGTAAGCTCTAATGGATTAACTTCTAAACAATTTAGGGAAGGTATTTCAGATTGTCTGAGATATCACCTACAGCCTCACAACTGAACTTAATCCCATCTAACTTGTCTTGATCGTTGATAACTTCAGTCTGTAAGAATGAAAAAATTCTCTTGTAGTAACTCCAGAGGAATCAGTTTAAGTAACATATTGTCTGAAACGCCGGCCTCAGTAATCATTCAACCCTTAACTAGGGCTCGTGAAGAGCAAACTTGTGGAAAACAAGCTAGTTACAGAACTGCACAAATCTGTGGACCAAATATTTTCCTTTTGGCGGTTTCTGTAAAACAGATACACTTGTAGTAAGCCCATTCAACTACTGCATTATTTATCTGCTCACTGTAATTAAGACAGTTAATCCACTAAGTAATTTTCTTTGTGAGTGTGATTGAGCACCTTGTCTGCACATCAATTTTTAATCTTTTCTCCCATTGGTTGTAATACACAGACAATCAATAATTTATCCATAGTTGATTAATAAATATATATGGATTTTTAACACACACTCTTGGTTTCCCTATGTGCTTGCTTCATGAAAGTTTTCGGATTTTACCAATCTTTAACAATAAACTATCTCGATGACAGGTGTTCAGGCTTTCGGATAATCTCGAGTAAATCTATAATTCTATTAGGAGATTTAGCCTTCATTAAATACTCAGTTAACGGGATACTATTTATATATATAGGGGAAATCAGCCTCTACACGCTCTTCAACGTCCTACTATAGTTGTATTCCTTGACCTCAAGGTCGTGTTGCAATCACACTGGGGCATTGACTCCTTGTTTCTCTTCAGATCCTAAGTTTTGAAATAACTCAAACGTTTTTTTTATTATTTCACTAATCTGTTTTTTCTCGAACCGTATCTTCGATGTCTAGTGTTTCCTATTACCATTAATACTATTTCCACCTGAGATTTTCTGTGACTGACTGATGTAGCAACCTGATATGATGTATACATGTCCCAGGTTTCACGATGCACATGAATGAATTTGTATCACAACTCTACATTGCTGGTGAATTTATAGTCTCATAATTGAAAAATTAGCTGAATATGAGAATATAAACATTTACTGTTCAATATAAAAATAATTTATAAATAATTCTGGCGAAACGCGCATCCTGGATTCCACTGCTAGCCACTATCCATCATTGCTTACAAAGAGCTTGTGAATTAAGGCAATATCGAGGCATGCGCACAGTATGCACATATGCCAATAACAGACTGATCAATTGTAGTCTTAAACCTCAATGGGAACATACAAGCCAAACAATACCAAGTGAATAATTCTTTAGGCTTGTAAACAGGCTCATGCACAACCGAGATATGATCACTAAATGCATGCTTCAAGGTAATTTGTTAATTAAGACTGTTGCATGTAGTGATGTTTTTTAACCGTCTACTTTGTTCTATAGAATAGATAGATTGTGACTAGCAGCGTAATCCAGGACTCAAATTTCATTTTACTTGAGATCAGTTAGCTAGATGTACTTGCGCTGGTGTTTGAAGGGAAGAGTGATGTGTTAGAGTCCATATGCGGTCATCAATACTATAGTGCATGTGCATCCATCTGACAAGTTCAAAAGAAGGCTAAACGAACATCCGGGATTTGACTCCCAGTCATGACTTACCTATTCTGTAAAACTTTTTAGGTGACCACATTGAGGTAAGCCGCACAGATTGCATATATGACAATGAAAACTGACCAGAATTCAGTCAAGAATACCAACATCAGAACAGTCCAAACATTTACAAGTTGAAACATTTTACCTTGGTTAAAATATAAATCGTGATGACCCTGTTGTATATGTATTGGTATATTGCAAAGAATAACACTGAGCACTGACAAATATTTGTACGGATACATTTTCAGCTGAAATGATCTGTTTGCGTGGATTGCAAGTTCCTTATAAATTAATTACTTTTCATATTTGCTTTATGCATCTATATACAAATTCTATTTAACATTAAATACAAATAATGCACCATGATTGTTACCACAGCTTTTATTCTTTTGCTACTTTGTATGTTCACAGATCAATCATTTTGATATAGATACGTAGATTATAGAAATCTTTATTTTTCTAGTTTGTAGAAATACTTTACACTATCAACCTTACTATTAACAAGACGTCCAAAGTTCTCTAAACGCAATAAATTTCGAGTCTTATTTTCAAATTTGAAATCGTAATTTTCCATTTCTTATAATTTAGGGGATGGCTTGTAACTAGAATTGCCAGTGAAATTGTTATCACTTCATTGGACTATACTGAAAATTATTAGTCAAGCCTCACATTTACTACTCTCATACATTTCCTGAAACATAATTATCCACTTACCTAATGGTGAAGCATCTGTTAACCATCTACGAACATATCGTTCAGCCTTTGGTGACATAATAGTGGATATTGGATCTTTTGATGCGAAATCATTACTGGATGCAGAAGTTGTGTTTTTCTGAGTTAGGTTCTCCTTCGAATCAGACTTCTGCGAATTGAAAACATTTATTGCAATGTTACAGAAACTAGCTGATAAGAAATACACTCTAGTTTAATCATCAAATGTAAGTTGGTGGAATATATATCTGCAAAATGTTAACTACAAAGAACTCGGATCACATGATAATCGAAATGGTGTTGAGTAACCGATTAAGTTACAACAGCAGTTTGGATTTAAAAAGTGCTCATCTTTCTAGATTTCTTCATATATGTTACATTCCTTTAAACATTTTACTTTGCTCATCGTTTGGAGACCACTCTTTAGCTGCAGAGACTAATATAAAAATATAGGTTATTGACTTATGAATCTGGAAGAAATAAGTCTATCAATAATGATTCACACCACTGAATGATTAAATACAAAATAACCTCTTGGGAAGTGTTGTTGGACTTATCTAATTCTTACAACTTTCTGAAATTTATTTACTATTGTTTGTTAGATGGTGGTTGGAGGTAGTCGACAGGATACCCTGGACCCAGGTTTCGTGCTACTTGGCACTCATCAGCAAGGTGTACCTCTAATCTTGATGGAACTGGTGCCCCCTGGCGGATTCGATCTCGTGTCACTCAGCTTCACAGTCAGAGACGTTACCACTGAGCTACCCGAGCCGCGACAACTCCTGTATAACTGAGATGTTATCACAATTGATTGACCACTGGGTGGCGATCAATGTCATGCATGTCTAGTCTAATCTCACAATAGTGCACGCAGTGTCGAGTCACCTAGGCTGGTGGCCAAATTGCAACATGGTCGATAGCAGTCGATCTGCACTAATAAGGACTAGATACTCATGACATTGATCGCCACCCAGTGATCAATCAATTGTGACTATTGTTTGTTGTTGTCACATTATTTTATTTTAAAAATAAGCACTGATATTGTATAGAATAATCATTTTCACCAACCAATATGTAAATGCTAAACGACAAAACAACTGATAAGCAAAGTGTTGAATTTATTACGTAAAAATATGTTAGAGGGAGACTCAGACTGTAGCTATCAAGTCTTTAAAAAAAAGAGTATTTGATTTCGGGAGAAGGATAATGTTCTATTTCTAGCCAAATTAGCTTGAAATACAAACCATGTATTAACAATATTAATTACCTTCTTAGATCAATCATTTAATATGATTGGTCTAATAGAAAACAAACACATTTATGATCATTACACTAAATAGTTTTTTTTGAGTTTTTAAAATGTATATTTATATTTTGTACAGTAGTGGTGATCCTTTTGAGATGATACAGAATATTTGCAGTTTTGCAATGTATATTATTTAGGTATTGTATTGACTAAATCATCTGGCTTAAAGAATATAATACCTTCAAAAACATTTTCATTTTAATTAAACAATTTGATAAACTGATTATCTAACCTTTTTTATAGTATGTTCTTCTAGTGTCATCGAAGAATCATCCAATGTTTCCATACATTTCACTAGATTTTTTTTCTTTTGTATCATTGAATCAGCTACAACAACTGTAGAATTAGCTTGTAAATTATCATCTGCTTTCACTGTATTTCTATCGCACTCTTTGTCATGTATATACAACATATGGAAATAGACCAGAGAATTACTTTCGTTTTATGAATATTACTTTTAAGTATTAAACTGAATCCTAGTTACATATTACATAATTAATGAAATGTCATAATAAAATATATTATAAGACATTAACTAATAATTAGGATAACCTTTTAAACTAATGATAATATTTATTTCCATGAATTGGAGACATGGAAACAAGAGTGCTAATTTTTTAAATCAAACATAATGTTTAATAACAGATAACCATTCATTGATGCCTATTTGCTCCAAATCAATACTGTTAGTTTATGTATTCAGCATGAGTACATGCATGTGTTTTGAATATCCTCCTGATCCATCTAATCACTAATTTAACAGAATGTGTATGTCCTATTACATAAAGATATAGTTTGTTCTCAAACGATTATCTCTTTCCAACTGTAATTGATCTAAAGTTTTGTTTAAATTCTATTGATACCATACGCCAGTGTAGCATTTCTCATCGTGATTGTTACTTATTTCATGAATAATATCTTAACTTTTTATAAATGACATAGATAACGATAAAATTTTATTACTGTAAAACCCTATTTAAACTGGTTGTTTAAAATTTTTCTCCTAACTGTATTGCTTACTTTGCATGATAAGCGATCGTTGGGTTTTTTTCAACTAGCTTAACCTTTCATTGTGAATCCAGTGAATTGCTTAACAGCAAAATACCTAGTTATAAGTCATGATTTTATTTAGATTTCTTGTTATAGCATTGCTTTTTAGAGAAACCTTTTTAACCTTATTGCTCATTCCTAATCTTTCAATCGGTATAAATATTAATTTTATTGTACTTCATTTTCTAAGCTTTCACGCAGCAACCTATTTAATTTTAACAATACTGAATGAATTTATCACTGTCCATTCATATGTACGTATTGATTGAGATCATGAACCGGTTGATGTTAGACCATCACAACGGCCGTCCAGTGCTTACAGGTTTTCAATTGTGATGGTCTAACATCAATCGTTTCATGATCTCAATCTAAAACTTAATAATCTCCACAACCTCTATACATATGTACGTATGTTTGTTTGATCATTGATTTTAATATAGATGTTGTTAAATTTATTCGATGGCTCTGACTAAATCATTGAATGACGTTTAAAAATCTAGAAATCAAAACACGAAATTTATCGACGACCCTGTATTAATAATAATGGCACAATAAGTAGTGCATTTACAAACCACAATTCATGAGTTAGCTATGGCATTTACACGAGTCGATGAATAATCTAAGAGGAAATGCTTTTAAAAATAGTTGCGTGAGAAACAATCATAAAAATGTACAATAAACTAGGTAAAGACTCGTATCAATACAACAATGGTAGTCAGTGATTAGAAATGTGAACTAAAAACATAAAATACGGAAACTGTTAAATATAAACAAATTTCCAGTAAACACATAAGAAACAGAGATAACTGCTAGATGTAACAAGAGCATGAACTCATAATAATAAACATATTAGATGTGATAGTTTAATGTATCTACTCAGAAATATCGCACAACGAGATGTGATACGTTATGTTCTCAAAAATTGTTGACAATCATCAGTTACTGAATATTAGTAAGTAATATATTTAATACACTAAAACAAATAGGATAATATGAAAATATGTCCATGTAGAAATCGCGCGTAATAATTTTGACTTACTCACACAATCATCACACTGTGTATTTTTTGATCAATCTCCATAGTAATAAGGACCTGATTTGCTTACAAAATCAGAAAATGTCATGAAATATTTCAGTAAAATAATACAGATATCTATTATTATCGGCTTCGGTTAGATTAACGATAATAAGCTGAATGTTTCTTAAAACTAGATGACTAAAAATTCAAACTATATTCCTTACCACAACAGTTAGTCAAATTTGTGCAGTGTGCACTGGTTATAAGTGATACGATTCTAATTCATTGCTTGAATATAATATCCAAGTCAATTTGTGCGGAGCAAAATTATTGATAAATAATTCTGAGGACATTTTCACATAGACTTCTTATACATATGCAAAGACGTATAACCACACAACCTGATAATTTTTAGAAATTCATGAGTATCTATCTCACTGGATTTTAATGATGATGTTATTTTTGGAAAAAGAATACACACAGTTTTGTTAACTACCATACCATACAAAATCATTTTTGATATCCCAAACCGACCTAATCTAGATATCCACTGAAAACCGGATAGCATTCGATGGCCGTTTTGTCCTAGTACAAGACTCAGCATAGAATGTTCAATACTCATCGGGGGTCGCTGGCAGCTGGACTGTAGTTCCTGGGTCCCATACCAGGGTGAAACAGTTATCCAGCGCTTTCTGGTTTTCAGTGGATATCTAACTTAGGTCTGTTCGTGGTATCAATAATATTCAGTAAATTCTACAGACCTCCTACACCGATTAAAATCGCTTTAATCTTGCACTAATAGATTATAGATATTTGCTTTTCGTCGTCCAGTACTTTTTTGAATTCGGATTCATTATAAAAAGTTATCAGAAACAGTATTCAATAAATTGTTTAAAAACTTACCTATATTCAATGATATCCTAGTTTGTCTTTCCAACAAAGAAGCGGGAACATTCCATTTCATAAAGACCTAACAAAAAATGTTGAATCTTCGACACAAATATATTCAAGAATGATATCTGAGATACGTTTATGGACACACTTTTAATCAATGATAATCAACCATTTTGACGGGAACTTGGGTCTAAAAATAATATTTTTTCTAAGATTTGAAATAAATGAATGTGGTACTGTTCAACAATTTATCACGGTAAAATGTGTACATTTCAAGTGTGACATAAATCTAATTTATGATATATGTAAGCCTATAGCTGGTTGTACTTTAACACTGCATCATTTAATATTACCCTTTTCATTCAAACTCTGATTTAATTAGTCAATATTAGATTCTGTAACAAATATCAAAATGCAAAGTCTTCAGAAATGTTTTCTGAGTTATATATGAATAAGTTAAATTACAACTGTAAAGCAGTACAGTTGATTCATTTATCTCACCAACTACTTCTTATCTCCTTCACAAGCATACTTAAATCTTCGGGCAGTTTATTATTTACATTATTGTAAATTAGTGTTGATAGTGATTTTTAATACACACTGAATTTGTCTTTCTGAGCAAACTTAGAAAATGTCACATGATAACCTGATAGATGAGCAGATGTTTTAGGGCGTTTTTTGAATGTTACAAAAGTGATGTTTTGACTCTATCCTACTATGCTATTGTTTTATAAGTATTTCTTGTCAAACAATTTTGTTTACGCAGTGACACAAGAATCGTAACCGCTGAAAACCTAGTATCGCTGAACAGTTGTTTCACGAAAGTCTGGGACTAGTAATACAAATCATAAGTCAACATAGAATTCGGTCTTGGACTTTCAGGTTTCACCTTGTATAAGATACTATTCGGCTATTGAACTTAAAACTTATGAGCCTCATTTCTCACCTCAATTAATTAGTAATATGGCGTCATCTATAGCTGAAAATACACCTGTCATTTTAAATTTGTTCTAGTGGGATATAGATTGGTTCAATGCACGTTCTACACAGGATTGTTGGAGCAGGCTGATTGGTTATTTCCTATGCAATCAGCGCTAGTGGTCACTAAGAGAAGACTCTAGAATCTTATGTAAAAGCTATATATATATATATATATATATATATATATATATATATATATATATATATATATATATATATATATATATATATATATATATATATATATACTAACGTTTCTCTTATTGTGACTCCTATTTCCACCTAACTTTTTTATGTAAAATATAATTACATTCCTATTTAACCGTGTATGAGTAGCTAGGTCGTAATAAAAGAAGTTACAACATTATGTAAATACGAGATTTTTACTCACTTTATCATCATTTATTAATTTCAATTCCTTCACCTTAATATTAATAAAAAGAAAATATGAGTTTATCTTTCAATTTATTGAGTGGAATATATTATTATTATTGCATTATATCCGTATACTTGAGTGATCTGAAACTAAATCGATGATCAATTAAAGTATAGAATATTCCCTAAAATCGATTTATATCAAGGCAAATAAATTGTTGTTAGCTGTAGAGACCATATACTCTAAGTAGTCTAACATTATTCAAATGATTTCATAGGATAGACCTATAACATTTTTGTGTAAGTAATTCTGATTAGAACAAGTCTATAAATGGAGCCACCCTCTACTATGGATAAATAATTGATGGTTTGCATTACAATAAAACTGTTCATCGGGATTTTGATAGAAATGCAGGATTTTAACGGAAGAACATTTGTCGAAGAGAAGCATTCCTACTTTATCTTTATTAGATATATTACTTGTTTAAAGTTACTCCTATTTATAGCGCAACAGAACTTGTACACTATTTGAATAATTAGGTATGAAATATATTTCTAATAGTGTTCTATAATAATTACCTCTTGATGAATGAAATTTAAATTCAGTTACATATATCTTTAAATTTAATGGGAATATCAGCACATTTGGCCTTACAGTAACTACTCTAATTCATATTTCAATTCATAGAAATCCTGCTTATCTAAATTGGCTGATGTTTAATGGACGTAATAAGGATATTTCCCATCGTTATATACTATAGTTATTCTAATGAAATGAATCATAATAAAGTATGTAATTTACCTTGACGATCTGAGAGAATAGTTGACTTAATTTATAAAAATGATTGAAACATTAATTTTAAGAATAATACTAAAACGTGATATGATACTGTCATGACAATTAATGATAAGTGATATCTTATACAAGAACTACAATTTTACTAGATGCATATAAACTAGTCATTGAATTTATCGTATAAATATACACTTAAGAATAACATCTAATAGACGTATTCAGTTGCTTAATAATGTGTAATTTTATACAAAATACGCTTTATATTAGAATTATGAAGTTGAACTGTATTGAAAACATTTTCGTCATTAATTAGAATAAGCTTTATTGTCTTATCTATCAAAAATGATCACTGAGTTGATCATATTGTGTAGTTTTCATTTGATTAGTATCAGAAGGGGTTTTGTGGAGATTGTAGTAATTTCAACAGTTGAGATCATGAATCAATTGAAGCTGGACCACCATGGAAAACCTGGAAGCACTGGACGGACGTTTCGTCCTATTGTGGGACTCCTCAGCAGTGCGCATCCACGACCCTGCCGCCCGCAAGATTCGAACCCAGGACCCATCAGTCTCGCTCCAGGCGCTTAACCAACTAGACCATTGAGCCGGCATCCAACGCTGTTAATGTCTAACTTCAACTGGGTTCGAATCCCGCGAAGTGGGGTCGTGGATGCGCACCGCTGAGGAGTCCCAAAATAGGACGAAACGACCGTCCAGTGCTTCCAGGTTTTCCATGGTGGTCTAGCTTCAATTGATTCATGATCTCAACTGTTTTCATTTCAATTATATTAAAATCCGTAACTGTCAATATTATACAGTAGTTTATGTTTCAACTTATAAACATGATATAAAAAGAAAAAAAAATTCAGACATTCATACTACTTAATAAATGATTTTAAAAAATTATGAATAATGTCACCTCTTACCATTTAGTTGTTTTCTTCCTCTTTTCTTTTAAAATTTTTAAATATATCTATAATATAATATTTGCAATTTATACTTTCTTGATGAACCATATGATTCAATTGTGACAGTCATTACTTTCCTATTGGTTCTTGCATATATTTGTACTTATTATTATTGTTATTATTAGTCACATTATTGTTATCATAATTATTGTGGATTACAATTTATCAAATATACTTTGTTAATTGTATGTTTAACTAATAAATGATACAACTAGAAAGTTCAACTGATATATAGTTTCAATGTGAATTAATTGTAAATATAACGAAAATTGTTTATTTTGAAATAATCATTCTGATAACAAATTAAAAGTAACATTTATTTTTACTTCTTGAATATGATTTAATAACTTAAGCTTTTTGTATTAGTCCTTATAGTGATCTAGCTGGTAATATATTCAATTTAATTATACTTTAATTAAGACTTATCTTTTCTAAATATAGAATAGAATAGAATGATTCATTGGCAGAATTCAGTCAAAGCGCTAATTCATACAAAAACATCCGACAAGGATCATCAACTACATCTTAATTACATTTAAAGTTGACTGATAACTGTTAGCTTAAGTGAAATCTAAACTGGGGGAGATTCGATAGAATGCATTCAACCAGACAGCATCATAAAATGATGAATGTAAATAATAGCTACTGATGAATGGCAATCTAGGGGGAAACCTACTTCTATGGTGTCTTCTGGATTGTCTAAGATCACCTGGCGGAGTAGTATACTCTATCGATTAGTTATTGATCCGGATTTTGAGCAATGAAATATGACTTCTTTTAGACAGATTACTTGGTACATGTATTAATATATAAATACATAGTATGTATGACTCAATATGTACTAATTTTCACGATGACTTAAAAAAAACCGTGTTTGACTACCTGTAGAGTAGTATGTGCATTGCCTGTATGTACCAAATAAGAAAATTGCTTTTCTCAATATTCGAGTCGTTCAAAATTAATCATACTATGTACAAAGTTCGCTCAAATTTATACGGTGCTAGAAAATAGTTATACCTTGTTTGATAACCACGATTTAAATATCGTCAATGGTCGGTTACTGCAAGCTTGTACTAATAAAAATACTGCAACTACTCTCCTATCCTGATCATTTTATCATGTTTTACTAATTTGTTGTGGGAACTTGAAAAGATGCCCGATTATACCAAGTTCCGTGTTGCTTTTGACCATCTGACCTACTGGTATATGAATTAAAATGTACAAACTTTCGCAAGTTTTTATAATAAAGTTATTTATTAGAAAAATATTACAACAGAGCACCATTTTGAATAATCTAATGGATTACAAAAATCATTTGGCATTCATAAACTTATTATAAAATTAATTCGAAACAATCCACATGACGACGATTTCATCAAAGAAAGGACACTATTCATCAAGAAATTGTAGATTATATTTGAATTAAGGCTGAGCATGTACATACTTTGACAAGGCTGTGATAAAGTGATCGAAATGATACTGCACAGGATTTGATCATAGTGATTTTCACCGAGATAGACAACGAACAAGAAAACTGAAATACTCTAGCAGGTTATTAGTGACTTCATCGTTGAATTCGATTCCAGCTCGGTGTGCTATTTGGAAAGATACTATTCACTAGCTTTACAATGCATCATCGAGTCACTCAATCTTGCTCTCATCCTCCGAATTCTGGATAGATTTTCACTCCTCATGCTACTCTTAAAATTCATATACATCATTTACAACTTGCTTCTGCAAAGCGTCTCAAATTTACTATGTATCAAACCTCTCTTACTAGTACATATTACCAACAAATTGCTTATAATTTAAAAGAAACCTGTTTAATACTTCATCTGCTGCGATTTTATTTCGTAATAAAACAGTCCAGCTTCAGCGACCTTCAAAATATTCAAGATATTTGTGGGAAATAAATGCAACAATTTTGGTTCTTTAAGAATGAAAACCAGCGAACGTCACCATATCGCGCCTGTTTAACGAAATGGCATCACGACTTCCTCCATATTATACTTTACTACTTACTAAGAACCAGTAGCTCAAGAATACACAATTTATTTTTGGAAAACCTAGTGAGCATGATTGACGCTTGTAGTAATCTGCTAATCATGGACATCCTAGTTCTTGTCAAATGTTTTAACACTTTCTTTCCCGTGATCATACTTGTTCCTCTCTCCTTAGTATTCAGTCTTTACTACATGTGTTACTCACTGATATTTTGTATTCCAAACAGCTTATCTGTTTTCAAGTCACAGGACACGACTCAATTCGTGCACTTCTAGTACCTCACTGACAGCCGTCCATTAATTTCGGGGTCGCAATTAATTTCCTATCCAATTAATTGAAGGACGCGATCTACATCAACTGTGTTCTTGATGGCATCAACAACCCTTGACCACGTAGCGATTAGAAGTCTACATGCTTAATCAATAGTTTTCCCCGAAAGACCATGTCCTCGGGTTACGTAATTTCACGCAAGGCCTGAATACCGATCAGAACCTGTTTGAGGACTACATAAATACTACTACTGATATTCAATTTTTTCAAGTACAAAATTCTGGTCTGTATGATATTTAGTAAACTGTTTTCTTAGGACATTTTCTTCACAAATATTCGTTAGGATTTTAAGCTCCTTGAAAATATGCCAGTATCCTCGAATCAGATCAACGTCTCTACCTCCAGGAAGGAGCTACATAGTCTAAGTACCAATAATTCAGGTTCCAGTTTGGCCCTGATACTAAACTATTGATATCCACTATGCTCTGTGGGTTATGGAGAGCTACAACCGACTAACATTTAGATGGTGGATGTACTAATTATCTGTATTCGGAGAAATTCCGGACTAATGCCACACTTATTACAGGCAAACAATTCATTTATATGTGAGTAACCGAGACTTTCATATCACACGTTATTTCCCGACGCCAAGACGGTCGAAAAAGTGGATGTTGTCAGTTAACATGGTGGATTAAATGCAAATGTATATCTCTACTGTGACGTCATAACTACGTGGTCGGAATTCGTGAGACCCTTTTGGACTCAGACGCTATTAGATATAGGTCCAAACAGAATCTACTATGGATCCTAATATTTTTTCTTGCTACTTTTTCTCATAAAAACGAGATGAATTTCCTTAACTAAATGAAGCTTTTCTTGGATGCGTATTTGACTGAAATGTATCTCTTATTAAATAATATTGTTAATTATCAATCTATTGATTACATTACCTCTCCCTGTTATACTTCTTCATAATAATACTTTTGAGTCAAACATTTTGGTGCCCTATGTATGTACCATGATTTATCTTTAATAAATAGTAGAACATTACGGAACTTCATAGTTTTACTGATTATGTGAACTGCTGACTTTTTGAAAATGAATATACATAAATTTTCTAATTCGGACGAACATTCATTATCAGATATTGTGACTATTATACGAATGATTTCAAACATAAATATGAAAAGATTTAATTTCTCACATTAAGATTAATAATAATAGTTAATACAGAAAAACAATACTGTTAGAAAATAAAATTGTTTTGAAGATTAATTTTTTTTTGAAAAAAACAGATTACTAAATGAGAATTTACTTGAAATAAATAAATGAATAAATAAATGGATGATATCATCACAACTCCCTATAATCATATGGATTTATACAAGTTATTCATAATGGGATAGAATTATAGCCTAATTAAATCATAGGAACCGAATATAAAAATATGTGAAAACTACTAATAACAAGATGCAAAACAGTATGTATTTGACGTAGACCGATTGAAGGTTGAGTGAGTGGGCATCTTGACGGTATTTCTTGGACATAGTAGACAAATTGGATGCTCGAGAGTCCAAGGCTACAAACGATTTCAGATAAAAGATAAAATAGAAGTGTACTTAGAATAACTCTGTAAAATACTTCGGACTAAAATAATTCAATTTCAAAACGATATGAAAACCATTACCTAAGAAAATAATAATATACTTTTAACATTTCACAAATTAACAACAGTGTGATGGACGCTACTCACAAGATTGCTTTTAAATAGTATTTAGCGGAACGCGGCCTCAAGGTTATCAGTCATCAGGCGGAGAGAGAAGGATCGGTACATCAAAATCACAAGTTAGGCAGAACACTTGAAGATCAGACGAGAAGACATTTTGGGTTGGGGAACACACCGCAGGATGCAAATAGATGATCGAAGGCTATATACACATATTATGTAAACACTGTAATCTCTTAAAATAAGCATTCATTCCTTCTACCCACTGTCTTGTTCTACAATAGTATCAAAGTTATTCTTGAGGAAAATAGTTTCCACCCCGATCCAACAAATCCCGTCGCTGAGAGACTTATCATCACTATGTAATCGTGATTCCCTATAATGCTTTTCCTCCTGTTTTTTATGATGAACGTGCCCCATCAAATCAAACATTCAAGAAAAATGTTCAGTGGCAATGGTCATGATTTTAGCAGGATTAAAATAACTGCTCAGAATGATAATGAACGTTCTTCAAACCGTAAGCGATTCTTACATAGTAATTTTACCTATCAACGTGAAACCACGTCTAAATCAAGCTACTTAAACGTACCGGGACTTGACTGGGTACGTAGACCTGATTTATATTCTCAATCAATAAGCAAAATTTGTCTCCAAGTTTAGAAGAATCTTATAACAAACTTGACTACGTAAAACACTTCAGTTTCCTGAAGCATCTAAAGATCTAGGTTACCGAACAAGAACTCGAGCTACTCTGCAATTGAAGCCAGATAACACATTTATATTTTGCCTGACACACCTATTACCTTGTATCATAACTGCCTAAGTTGACGTAGAAAACAAAATAGCATGTAAAGAACAACTTATATTATTGAAAAATAGCACTTTATACAGGGTCGTTTTTCGGTAACTAGTGACCATATATAAATAATAATTATAGCGTAAAATCTTTTTTTGCTAAATATATCTCAAAGTTGATTGAAATATATTACAAAAAATATCAGAATATTGCATTAAAATAACTAAGAACAAAATTTCAATCATTTTATTTACCAAAGGGTTGACAATTTTCAATTGCAAGAACAAGCACTAGTTACAACATAACCGAACTTATTAACTTTGTCTGTATATATGATAATAACCATATAGTCAACTAACTGAACAGGTTGCTTCGAAATATCTTTAAAATTCACTGTCATTGTGTGACGCAATAATGCTAAATTTTATTGCAACAGTGATAACTAATTCTTGAAGCAAATACATGCGATTACCAATGGTTTGATAAGATTAAATAATTGGTTGTATGAACATGAAATGTAGTTTCCGAAAATTTCCTTGACATTTTATTTACATGTTAGGTGCCTACGTTCAATAGTAATCTGTTCAATTACCATATGACGTAGGTGAATAAATTTAGATAGTTTTTGATTGAGATCATGAACCGATTAATGTTAGACCATCACAATTGGAAACCTGGAAGCACTGGACGGCCGTTTCGTCCTATTGTGGGACTCCTCAGCAGTGCGCATCCACGATCCCGCGAGCGGGATTCGAACCCAGGGCCTTCGGTCTCGCGCGCGAACGCTTAACCAACTGGACCACTGAGCCGGCATCCAATGCTGATAGTTTCTAACATCAACCAATCCACGAAATTGCGCGACCAACTTCCATTGTACTGAGGTAGATACCTGTCTCTACCCGACAAGGATTAGCTCCACTGATCACGGCTTTTCACTAGAACTCCGAGAATTCCCTCACGAAGCTAGTCACTAGTGAGCACATGTTAATTAATTTAGATAGCTTGAGCAGCCAAAAGCGTAGTTCATTAAATCTGAACTCACTTGAAAGTGCTTCACCACGTTGTAATACATCATCAATATTCTGTACCATGATTCTTTGTACGTCTTGTAATGCTACGTTCAATTGACTAAGATTGGATGACCGACTATCACTATAGATTTTTTGAGTTTTGTGTATGACGTGATCTATTAAAATAAACAAGGTAAAGCAACAAATTTACCAAAATCAAGGAATGCGTAAGGTCTTGAAACTGTTTGTATTTGTTGGTAGTATTTGCCGTAAAATTCTGTTTGTATTGCCTCTAAAAATGCAAAGGCTTTTGTACGACTGAACTGTGAGTCTGTAAGAATAATGTAACAAACACCACGATCCAGCAGATAATGAAACAAGTAAGGACCAGCAATAAGAGAGCATCTAGAAGGAGAAGTAGGAGTCATACGACAAACGAGTGCTTTTGCTTGATTTTGATACTGGAATATTTCACGATTTAGCTGAAATAAAACGGGACAAAATATAAAAAGATCGTTTTAAGAATGGTACAATGGAAAGTATTACCCTCATGTAATTTCAACTCAACTGGATACACAAAAAATGATTTTTGGATTGCTTTATAACTAACAAAAAATTAAGTGGAAGTGGATTAAACACAACTTTAGATTGTCATTATAATAAAGAGGGATAGATCTATAATGGGTAGAAGATTGAGATCAGCTGTTTAACTTTACTTAACAAGTTAGATATAACAGTGAACTTTACATCTACTTGCACGATGAAATGAGCAATTAGTTGCACTGTTTTGGTAGTAAAGACAGGACTGAAACTTCGCACATAGAGAAAAGTAAATAAGAATCTCATATGAAAAGTAATAAATAGCAAAATGACTATAAATTTAAAATAATAGTAAAAGTATCAACAGCCAATATTATCATTAGTTAACTTTTAGTATTTAACATTACAGTACAGAATCTACAATAGCGATGTCTGGTACTCTCTTTGTCGACAGATGTTGCTACTAGGCTTTCCTACAGGTCACATAACGGTCACCATCTACTGAGGCTTTGTGTAGAAAATAACTAGTTTCTGAGCAGATCCGACTTTCAGTACTGTCATCATCGATAAGCCACCTGGTGTCTTACCTCTGCAACTCAAGCTTGATCTCATATTGGCCACATAGTGATTAGCTGCAGCTGGCACAAAACTGTTGCTTTCCTTAGAGTACCTTTTTGGACTCTGATAATGGTTTGATTTGCGCCAAACTTATCTCGCGCTTTGGCGATCAGCAAATATATTGTCCTAAATAGGTCGATATAAGCGAATCGGTCGTAGCTTCCTCTGCAGCCAAATAACAAACGAAGTCAGGTTCAGAGCAATCTGTAAATCCATCAGAAAATGAAAAATGCGTATTGCGTTTGCATAGTGGCATGAAAATAGCGGATTACACCTTATGGCTTTTTGAAACGTCTTGCTTATATGCACTGAATTTCTGCAGATTAGTCACAGCTACTTGAAGTATACCATTTTTCCCCAATTAATTGGCCCTGGTACGGCCGAGAGTGGGAAGAGTCCGCTCTCCCTCTCGAAATACTCTCACACGGACAACTATCGACTCATTCCATGACGTTGGTACACTCTCTAGTTCCCAAACCTTTGTAAACAACGTCGTCAATTCCTTAGTCAAAAAGTCACCACCATCTTTAAAAAGAGCCGGAGGTAAGTCATCTGGGTCAGGTGATTTGTAACGCTCCAAGAGTTGGAGTTCCTTGCGGACTTCCTCCTCATTTGGTGGATCAGTCGTCACCGGCCATGGAGGGCAGGACAGTCTGACCGATGTTGCCGGAGCAGCAGGCCAGTTGAACTGCCCTTCGAAAAATTCTGCCCATCGTCCAAGACGTCGATGGATGTTAGTGATTGGCATCCCATCATCCTCGCAGATTGTTTCACTCACACCAGACTTCTTGCTGCCAGTGGCTCGGATGGGCTGGAAGAGCTTCCGGTAGTTACCAGATGCAGCTGCTGCTTCGAGCTCATTAGCACGCATCGACCACCAGGCTTCTCGGTCCTTACGCAAGCTTTGCCCAATTTCCTTACGTAACATCCTTCGTAAGGTCTAGGGGTATGATACTCGCTTTGGGTGCGAGTGGTCCCGGGTTCGAATCCCGGCAGGGCCTATGGGAATTGACGAAATGTTTGGAAAACATAATGTACCATTATCCTGAAATGAATTAATAATTGTCCATATCTTTAAAAATGAACTGCGTTACCTACTTAACAACAATACGGAGTTAACTTTTGATTGCGCCTAAACAATTAGCTTCCTTGATACTTTGTGGATTGTTTAATAACCGAAAAATTGACTTGCGAGGAGCAGACTAGCTGTCGTTCTGGTTTCGGATGGTGACGATAATTTACTTAGTATCATCACCTTGAAATACCAACTTCAGATGCCTCAATACGCTACGAATATCAACACAGAGGCTTCTACAGCATACCTCAGTTTTCGACGGAGCGGAAAAAGTGGTGGTTAACTTAAGGCAGTCCCGTGGTATGGAAAAAAGCTTAGTATGACTGGCCGTTGCGGATTCACAAGACTCCAAGCTCAGATCCTAGAAATGACACAAATCAGTGGCTTGGGGAATTATTAGACATGCCTCAACAAAAGTCGGTGAGGAAAGTGTTGCAGCTTTCTTTAACATTCTTCATAATAATGAAAAGTATCCCCTTGAATGAAAGAATTCTTTCTCACTATACGTTTCACAGGTATGTCTGATTATAATTCACTGACCCATTAATTTTCTTGTTTTTATTTCCTTATATGTGTGGCGTGCACATATTACGGTGCCCAATTGTACTAGTAATTGTGTTAATCAAAATAAGTAGAAACTCCAGGAATTGGACTACTAGATCACGCTGCTCGACTTCCCACGTCTACCAAAGGTTTCTCAAATTCGAGTTATAGGATGTTCTAATGTTTCAATTAGTCTGTTGTTCGAAAGAAACTTCGTATAGCTCTGTGCAATGTTACATTTGCTTCCTGTAGGTTTATTAATAGGTCGTCTTCGTGCATGGTTTTTATTAAGATGCTTATCTTTTTACTAACCCTCAACAATTCCCAAATGCTATTTAAAACTATTATCTTTCCCATCATTTATGTTTTGGCTGACAATAATTACTCACCATTACTGTATAGGTACTTGGTTAATTTATATATAGGCGACTCTCGTTACCAGACAAGGTAATTTTTGCTGTACATTCCTTGAGTTGGTCAATACAGTCAGTCAATCAGCTACAACGTAGGACCAGGCACATATGTGCATCGGTCCAGGTTGCCATACCTCATTAGCACAGCAAGATGAACACCGGATTCATAGGAGTGGTTAGGTCAAAGGTTGCAATAAGGATATAGTATAGGAAGAAAGAATTAGTTCGTAGACAGAAAGAATGAAGTGATTTTAGTCTCTTAGTTTAAGGGAAGACAGGGAGTGTATACACCGACGCCACTGTGATCGATTCTGAGCCATGTCACCAAGAGTCTCCAACGATTGGTTACGAAAGTCACGCGGACCCCAACCAAGTAGTCTGCATCTACCAACGTGGCTCAGACTAGAAGTTAGTGACTTCAGGCACTGATGCCACGTTTTGGTTTGGCCGCCCCTAACTTTCTTCCAACTATCCCCTACCCCGGTTAGCATTGCACGTCGTGGTAATCAGTGTTCAGGCATACGTAATACGTGGCCCAACCATCTCAGTCGATGAAGATTCATAACCTCATCAACTGATTTACCATCATTCCCTAATACCCTGCGTCTAACCTCACTATTACTTACCCGGTGATCCCAACAGATGCCAGCAATATTTCTAAGGCATCTGTGGTCAAATACTAGTAGCTTACGGGTGTCTTCTACTCTTAAGGGCCATGTTTCGCTGCCGTAAATTAAAACAGAACGAACTGCCGCGCAGTATACTCGTCCTTTTATTGATAGACGGATATCTCGCCTTCGCCAAAGGTGACGCAAGTTGGCAAAAGCCAAACGAGCTTTTCGAATCCGTGCTGAGATTTCGTCCGATACCAACCCATTAGGGCTGATCAGACTTCCAAGATAAGTGAAGTTATCAACGCGTTCGACTACTTCACTCCCTATCCTTAGTTCAGGTGTTGACGCAGACCAGTCCTGAAGCAACAACTTGCATTTAGAGGGAGAGAAGCGCATCCCAAACATTCTGGCATTGTTGCTTAGTGCTACCAGAAGACTCTGCATTTTCTCAGCGTCTTCACCAAACAGGACTATGTCATCTGCGTATTCTAAGTCGATAAGTGGACCTCCTGGAAGGAGATCAATATCATGTGTAAGGCACCATGCGACAATTGGTGTGAAGGTTATCTGTGGCCATATCTCTCAGGTCAAATATGTTCCCAAGCACTTTCCAACAATTAAGTTTAAAACTCATTAGAAAACGGGTAGAATGTAACCATTGCTTTTAAAATCTAAGGACTAAATAATACATCTATGCTACCAAGCAGTAATTAGTTCCACAACAAATCCCTTGTTCTGAATACCACCAGTACCTATAAGTATTGGATTAAACCATTTCTACCTTAATAAAAATATATTTGATATGTAGGTATGAACATAACTTGCACTTCTGTACTTTTCTCTGGTGTATATAGGATAGATATTTCATAGATATTTTAGCCTGGTGATCTAGCCTGGTAGCAAAAGTTGTGACGAACCTACCTGGAGTATGATGACCAAACACCTAGTTAACAATTATCATGAGAACATTTCAGTTGATATCATCTATAGCATAACGGAAATTTTCACTAGCATGCCTTCCGAACAAACGCTGGAGTCCTAAACATTCACTAGACTTGAATAAACTACTATGACGTCTCCCTTTACCACATCCTTTCAACTTCCGTATTAGCTTATAGGTTTATTCAGTTTAGTTCTAACCAGATGATAATCAAAACCTTCCGTATTTCTTTTGACTTTCAGTTACCTTGATGGTTTGAAGTAGCTCTTGCGTGTGATTAAGCCATAAATTGCAGTATGTCTCGTACCAGGTTTTAGTACCATCCTATAATCAGATACAATTTCGTGTACAGAGTTTTGAACCATGCTTGATGTGGGCATTAAACATAGTTAAGGTCAACGGTAGTTAGTGAAGATTAATTGTTTAGAAAGACCACACCATCTAAGGTGGCCAAGACGTTATTCAACTTTAGTCAATATTTATCCCCAAGAAAATTTTAGAAACAGCAGGACAAAAGCATTAAGCCCGAACCAACGTACAATATCAAGTCAGGAAGTATTCTTGCCAACGTTTTGCAAAGCCATTCCTTACAAAAACATAGTGATATTTTAACAACCAAATATACATATGTATACGTACTTACAACTCGCGGATTTGATCTTGGTAAAAGACGTTGTAATGACACGAATTTACCAAGTATTTGGACTTCTACAATTATTAAGTATTTCACTACATTATTTTAAACATCTGATGGAAAGTAAGACAATGGGTTAACGTGACATTAACTTACTATGATAAACAGACAAAATCTGGAAACAAATAAAGAACAATTAGCAAAATAGTGTTTTTGCTGAAGTTTTCGGGAGTCTACTTTCCCACAAAAACGTAAACTATTTGATTTCTGTTATAGTTTAGAATTCTAGCTATGATTTAATTTTGATATATTCCGACATCGTTACCATTTGCTGAGTTGGGAAATATCGAGCCGTTAGACTGTTTTACCTTGTTTTCTTAGTAATTATGGTTACCTTAATAACGTCAGTCTTTGATTTTGTCTATAATCTATGATAAAAACGTAACTAACAAAAAAGACAGGGATTCAAATAAATAAAGCGATTAGTAATACTAAGCGGACAAGTAATTCTTACTTGGTCATCATCCTGAATAGTTGCTGCAAGTGGGAGCCCATCGGCAACCCTAGCGATCAGAGTAAGGTATATCATGAGAAATTTGACTGGTAAAGTTGTGCAAGAACAGATTATGGGAGGTACCAGAAGTCTTGCTTTGATAACTACTTAAAACAATGTCGATGAAAACCAAATGATTTTGGGTATAAGATAAGTATCTATGCTCTTTTACCAGTAAGAAGCGGTCAGATATTCAAATACGTACACGTGGAGCATTTAATAAGCAGCTAGTGACCTTGTAAGGTCTGTGCTCTCAATAAACAATATCTTTGTGATGAGCTTGTCTGAGCCTATAGACTACTCCGAACTTTCTTCTTGACTTTACACTATGGTTCTGGGTCTTCAGTTCAGTTTAATGTTGGTGGCCTAGCCACTCGGTTGCACTGATTTTAATGAATTCAGTTTTTACTTAGTTAATATTTTTTAGGTGTACCTCTGTTCTTGAGCAATGGGGTTACTAAGACCAAGAGCTATCATATAACCGGATAGGAAGTTGATTCTTTAAAATGCTAAGGACTGTAATGTTACGATGTAGAGGGGCAAAGAGCGGACAACAGAATTAGTAGGGGAATAGCGTACACAAAATATGAGGAGCAAACGTCTTGTCGTACCGCATAGATGGTGTTGACAACGGATGATGTGGTCAAATATGGACCAACAGTAATGATGACAGTACTGATAACAGCAGTAATGATATGGTATGAAGCACTTAACAGGTACAGTTGCTCCTGACGAAGGACGGTAGGGCATGAATGAGTGTATGATTATTGAGTCTCCTTTCTGAAGTTGTCCGCCGAAGAACGATTGTCACACGGAGTTGAAGGAGCCTACTAGTTGTGAAAAAAACTATGATAGCTCCTTGATATTGGCTCTTCTGTGCACAATCTTGGTACAAGTTATTCGGTCTTGTTATTAGTTCCTTCACCAAGAAAAGAGATAATCTGTAAACCTCATTTGGGAGATTTCAGCTAATAGAGCAGAGTGTACAAAAAATTAAAAAGCCAGAGAAAGTCCAGGAATAAAGCGAGTATAAGAATTTTCTGGTCTTAGCAATCTGTCTGACTGTCATAAACTAATGAAGCGTCTGTGAAACACTATCTGCCTTTTTTGAAGCCGTATTGCTCTCCATGTCTGAATTGTTCTTTACCAAACTTACTAGCATCTTCGAGATTGTTGAAATCGAAGCTACAAGCCTACAGCAGATTTCATCCATTCTGTCTTCACCAATGATCAGGGGAGACGGGATTGTTAAATTCCATTCATTCCATTTTAGAATCAGATGAGTAAATAAAAAGTTCACGTGTTCCTTTACAAGGGATTCAGCACATTTTTGAGTATAATTTACCATGTGTTGTAGCAACTCAGCGGCTCACTGGATTCACATTTTAATAACTTTTAAATTTCTAATAGTCGTGATGTTACCAATATACTGTTACTTCCCACTGTCGTTTAAGCAGTACTTCTTTCAACTCTGTAATTCTGTATATGATTTGATCTCTTGGTAAAGTGAGTTTTGAGAACTTTGGCTAAACTTTATTTTTCGTTCTTACACTTCGTTTATAACTTTCTTATACTCGTTTCTTCCTCGGAACATTACCGATACAGGTTTGTTGAATATAACTATAGCTCTTTAGTCAGGTCTGTCTAATAAGAATTCTTCTCCCTCTTTTTCCTTATTTTGCACTTATTACTCAACATGATATGTTGGTCATGGTCGAACTCTCAGTAATGCCTGTAATCTGTTCCAACCATTCCTCTTTGTCTTAAGTAAACGCTCGGTGCCTCTCTTTATCCAGAATTTTATGTTCCCTAGATATTTCAACCCTGTAAGTAATCACTACGATGCCTCAGTTTTCATCATCTGTAAGTCTAGTTCGTTTCTGAGACCGAATATCATATTGGAGTAACTATCTTGTAACCGTGTATTCTGTCATGTGAGGCACCTTGCTTAGGAACACACTGAATATAACTGTGACGCGGACGTAACTCTCTCTTTGGTGCTCAGACGTTGACAAACACTACTTCAAGCCGGCTATTTGACAGACGGAAGTCTAGTCTAGAGGGTTTCCTATCATTCCTTCATTTCATGGCACTGTTTAAATGTTCTGCCAGTCCAGTGCTTCAGATGACTGCAACAGTTCACTTGTGAAATAACCATATGGGTATCAGATCCCCATTACCGAGACTCGAGGAAGGGGTTCCTGGGCCGTTAGAGTTGGATAATTGCCAGAAAGATCCTAGTTACTCCCTCAGAAGAGTCACGTTTTCGGACATCCTCGTACCAGCTGTGCTGAGGGGAATAGGTATGAGTGCCTTCATGGGTCGTGAAAATTCGGCTTAAGCCTTCTCCAGGCTAGCTGACAGATTTCCACTTCACTTTGTGGACACATACCAGAACTGCAGGCAAGACTGAGTGAATACCATTCATATATTTAAGGTAAAAATGGCGTGACCATCATTCATAGTTGGTGTATGTTGTTTTGATTAAATATTCATACGTTAACTTTTATTGGACGTTCAATAACTGATATAAATACTTTTTGTCATTGTACTTTTAGCCTCGGTAATCGTTTTGTTGTGAGCCAATATCACCGCAAGATGGATGAATACAGATTATACGAAAATAAAGCCATAGAAATAATTAAACTGCGACTTTGTATTGAACCATACAAGATCCAGGTAACTGCTCCATTAGTGCTGTGTTTTTGTGAAATTTCATTCTCTGAACTGAATAGTTCAATCTTAAAACCTTCTTCCTTCTGTATGACGTCATCAAAACAAACTTCAGGAAGAACTGAGGCATTTGAATCACTCTGCACATGACTGAAGGGCATGTCCTGTAGAGATTGATCGCGATCAGTTATTGTTACGTTAGGTTTGTCGTTGTTATCATATATAAGTTGTTGAGAGAAACTTCAGGGATATGGAAACATTCAATGGATTATTCCAATCATCTCATTAAATCTTTTACATCTTTCTTTAATAAAATTAGGGAGATTCAAGTCAAAAACGATTAGTTGATAAAATCCTTCGGTGTCACAGTCTTATTAAACTTGATCGGACCTAACTTAGCAAACAAACTCTACGTGTAGCGACCGAATGTCCAATATTCTGTTTGAACACAGAACTAACGAACCAAAATTTGTTCGATTAGACCAGACTGTATAGCGTACAAAGTTTTTTTGAGTTACTACCATTAAATTATATCAAAACACAAACTCTTTGCTCAATTTGAACGGTTCTAATTTAAGAGAGAGAGCAAATTTTATCAAAAATAAAAAAGGCCTCGAACGGTACAGCCTGTGCTATATACTCAAGGGTTTCTCTAACGCGAATCAGCGTGCTAAACGACAGAGTAATTAATTAATGCACAAGATTTCAATACCTGAGAACTGATAGGTCAGATCAGATCAGATATCTTCCTCGAGGGATTCCAGCAATCCTAACAAGTAAACAATCAATGGTAAACTGTCATACACTGAACCACGCCGCAATCTTGAGCTAAGTCAAACACGACCTTATTGTAAATAGAACGGTCACATGCAACGTAAAAATTAGGCAACGAAAGGTAAGTCTTTGTACAAAGTCACGTCATAAAAGCTCAGATGAGGAAGACTGAAGATCACAAAATGTGGTTAAAAGAGATCTGGATAAAAAGGTTGAAATACACGAAAGGCAGGAGAAACAAATAAAGTACAGCACTGTCCAACGAAATGTTGTGGAGAGATTTTCAGCGCTTTCTTTCTGATAGAATAACCCTGCCCCTCACCGATGACAAAAGTCTCCAAACACACGAAGACTTAATGTCGAACCTCATTAGAACTCATTGACTTATTTTGGACAGAATACTTTGATTTGAAGAACTAAATTAACATATCAACGTATGAACGCCAGCGGATTGACCGATATTGGAGTTTACCATAGAAGCGAAGACAGTGACTAGACACTTTGATTTCACCAGCAGTCAACCTGAAAATGAAGATTCTTTAACTGGACGACGAGCTCATTCCATCAGACAGGATTGGCAGGACAATACTTGTAACTTTATTGGCAACATCTTTAACAACTCAAAGTTCACGACAGAAAAGGAATCCAAGGACAAACTTTCATTCTTGGACGCACCTATCAAAAAATTAAAAGAACACCACATAATTTAGTTACACTTGAAGTCAACTTACACAGAATAGGCCCTTAGGTAGATTATTCAGAGCCCAAAATGCAGTAAACTTACGGCCCAGAAAAATTGAGGAACTCATGTAATGATTACCTTTCGAAAGAACGGTTGTGTTACAACCTGTAACCGCCAATCAGAGAGCAGTGAATTATCGATCGAACCAATGACGTGTAAAACACGTACGGGTAGCCTAGAGTCCTGAGTGATCCTGTTTTAATCTAAAAAAAATCTCTACAAACTTTAACTTCATGACAAATTTTAAAGGATTATAACTACAGTCCTTCCCCAGGACAGCGTTGGATGGAAAATGCTGGTGAGCGGCCTATGCTCCTTCACGAAAAGTAACAGACGTAAGTAAAAAGTAAAAATAAAACTACAGTCCCTTGGTATAATATACACATACATTTCTTTCTAACCATGATACATGGATAACGCGATGGCGTTCGAAGCGAATGGTACTGTATTCGAGTCCCCGAATGAACATCAACTCTGGAATGAAGGAACATCCAGGTGATGAGTCCCAAATAAGAAGAAACACACGTCCTGGATTCCAATTCCAGCCATTATCAATCTTTGCTTAGAAAACTTGTAATTTAAGGTTGTATCGAGGCAATTCGCACAGGATGCACATATACCAACAAAAGACTAATTAATTGCAGTCTTAAATAACAATGGAAAGATATAAGTAAAACAACATCAAGTGAATTTACATAATACATCATGTTGCATTTCATGAAGTTTATCAATTTATTTCACTAAAAGATTACTAGTCTTTTGTTATTTTCATTTGTTTTTTTCATGGAAGTTCCCCCAGGTACAATTTAAGTAACAATATTTCTTGTATGAATTTAAATTCACTGCTTTATTTTGTAATAATCTCTGTATTTCTTTTTTTTTGTTTTTTTTCTCTTATTAGGATTCACTTTACAAAATGCATTTACTTTTACTCTCAACACAATTTTGAGTGGATCAAAATTATGATCGATTTTTTTGTTGTTGTTTCCATGAAGTAATATGTTGTTCATAAATCATACTGAATTTATCAGTTTACTCTATTCATCATTGTCAGTTATGACAATTGAGAACATCAATCAACTATTATTACTTTTTTTATCTCATTAAAATAAATTTTTAGTTTCATAGAAAATAACATAAATATCACATTGAACAATCAATTAATAAGAAAAACAATAAGAAATGTTA